GATGGTTGCACAGTTTGGTATGGTTGCACAGTTTGGGATAGTTGCACAGTCTGGGATGGTTGCACAGTCTGGGATGGTTGCACAGTCTGGGATGGTTGCACAGTCTACGATGGTTGCACAGTCTGGGATGGTTGCACAGTTTGGGATGGTTGCACAGTTTGGGATGGTTGCACAGTTTGGGATGGTTGCACAGTCTGTGATGGTTGCACAGTCTGGGATGGTTGCACAGTCTGGGATGGTTGCACATTCTGGGATGGTTGCACAGTTTGGGATGGTTGCACAGTCTGGGATGGTTGCACAGTCTGGGATGGTTGCACAGTTTGGGATGGTTGCACAGTTTGGGATGTTTGCACAGTTTGGGATGGTTGCACAGTCTGGGATGTTTGCACAGTTTGGGATGGTTGCACAGTCTGGGATGGTTGCACAGTTTGAGATGGTTGCACAGTTTGGGATGGTTGCACAGTCTGGGATGGTTGCACAGTTTGGGATGGTTGCACTGTCTGGGATGGTTGCACAGTCTGGGATGGTTGCACAGCCTGGGATGGTTGCACAGTTTGGGATGGTTGCACAGTCTGGGATGGTTGCACAGTCAGGGATGGTTGCACAGTTTGGGATAATTGTACAGTCTGGGATGGTTGCACAGTTTGGGATGGTTGCACAATCTGGGTTGGTTGCACAGTTTAGGATGGTTGCACAGTCTGGGATGGTTGCACAGTTTAGGATGGTTGCACAGTCTGGGATGGTTGCACAGTTGGGATGCTTGCACAGTCTGGGATGGTTGCTTAGCCTGGTATGGTTTCACAGTTTGGGATGGTTGCACAGTTTGGGATGGTTGCACAGTCTGGGATGGTTTCACAGTTTGGGATGGTTGCACAGTTTGGGATGGTTGCACAGTCTGGGATGGTTGCACAGTTTGGGATGGTTGCACAGTCTGGAATGGTTGCACAGTTTGGGATGGTTGCACAGTCTGGGATCGTTGCACAGTTTGGGATAATTGTACAGTCTGGGATGGTTGCACAGTTTGGGATGGTTGCACAGTCTGGGTTGGTTGCACAGTTTGGGATGGTTGCACTGTCTGGGATGGTTGCACAGTCTGGGATGGTTGCACAGTCAGGGATGGTTGTACAGTTGGGGATGGTTGCACAGTCTGGGATGGTTGCACAGTTTGGGATGGTTGCACAGTCTGGGTTGGTTGCACAGATTGGGATGGTTGCACAGTCTGGGATGGTTGCACAGTCTGGGATGGTTGCACAGTTTGGGATCGTTGCACAGTTTGGGATGGTTGCACAGTTTGGGATGGTTGCACAGTTTGGTATGGTTGCACAGTTTGGGATAGTTGCACAGTCTGGGATGGTTGCACAGTCCGGGATGGTTGCACAGTCTGGGATGGTTGCACAGTCTACGATGGTTGCACAGTCTGGGATGGTTGCACAGTTTGGGATGGTTGCACAGTTTGGGATGGTTGCACAGTTTGGGATGGTTGCACAGTCTGGGATGGTTGCACAGTCTGGGATGGTTGCACAGTCAGGGATGGTTGCACAGTCAGGGATGGTTGCACAGTCTGGGATGGTTGCACAGTCAGGGATGGTTGCACAGTTTGGGATAATTGTACAGTCTGGGATGGTTGCACAGTTTGGGATGGTTGCACAGTCTGGGTTGGTTGCACAGTTTAGGATGGTTGCACAGTCTGGGATGGTTGCACAGTTTAGGATGGTTGCACAGTCTGGGATGGTTGCACAGTTGGGATGCTTGCACAGTCTGGGATGGTTGCTTAGCCTGGTATGGTTTCACAGTTTAGGATGGTTGCACAGTTTGGGATGGTTGCACAGTCTGGGATGGTTGCACGGTTTGGGATGGTTGCACAGTCTGGGATGGTTGCACAGTTTAGGATGGTTGCACAGTCTGGGATGGTTGCACAGTTTGGGATAATTGTACAGTCTGGGATGGTTGCACAGTTTGGGATGGTTGCACAGTCTGGGTTGGTTGCACAGTTTGGGATGGTTGCACTGTCTGGGATGGTTGCACAGTCTGGGATGGTTGCACAGTTTGGGATAATTGTACAGTCTGGGATGGTTGCACAGTCTGGGTTGGTTGCACAGTCTGGGTTGGATGCACAGTTTGGGATGGTTGCACAGTCTGGGGGTGGTTGCACAGTCTGGGATGGTTGCACAGTCTGGGATGGTTGCGCCAACACGATTTTGGTAAATAGGCACAATAATCAAGTACCTACCAGCATACATATAAAGGGGGAGGGGGGAGAGACTAGAAGAAGTTAGGGCTTTTAAATACTCCAGTCCCACATATGCAACGATGGCAGCTGTAGCAAATGGATAAGACAAGGTTTGATTTGGCCACAGCGGCCATGTCCCAGCTGAACACGGCGTGAAAAATGAAAATCAACATTGCAGTTAAGGTCAATACTTACCAATCACTCTTATTGTCGAATCTTACCAGAACTATATTTTTGCCAACACTATGATGTCAGTGCCAAACGTGGACACTTGCATCCTCTAATGAACGTAAAATTATGACAATAGAGAGGAAATGCCCTAGAAGAGCTGCAGGAGTTTCAAGGAAAAACAGAATACGAAATCATACGAATACTGGGGAAAGGGGGGGGGGGGAAGCCACTCTTACAGGTCATCAAAGAACAACAAATGAAGTGGTTTGGACACCTAACAAGAATTTTCTGGTACTATCTGCCACAGAGAGCCACACTAAAACGTTACAACGGGTATAGAGCGAGCATAAGGCCTGGGAAAATGGAGTGATGGCATTAAAACAGCCTAACGGAAATGAAAATTAATCCTAATAGTGCTCTTGATAGAGCGCATCAACAAATGTTACATCTGCCCCCGACACTTCGCTGAGGTACACGGAGGAGGAGGAGAAGAAGGAGAAGAAAAAGAGGAGGAAGAAGATTGTTAATGTACGGATGTGAGAGTTGGACTCTCATTGTGGAAGTGGAAATGAGGATCCAGGCTTTCCAATGTAAATGCTGTAGACGCATTTTACGAATGCGTTGTTTAGAACACAAAACAATTAAATATGTCAGAGACAAATACACTCATTTGTTGGACATCACGAGCCTCACTTGGCAGTGGTGAAACGTCGCAAGCTAGCTCGGTTTGTGCACGTGGTGAAACGTCGCAAGCTAGCTTTGTCTGGGCACGTGGTGAAACGTCGCAAGCTAGCTTTGTCTGGGCACGTGGTGAAATGTCGCAAGCTAGCTTAGTTTGGGCACGTGGTGAGACATGATTCGATTGCAAAGCCTGTACTTCAAGGAACATTGAGGATCGTTGTGATGTTATGTATGTGTTTTCGTGTATGTATGACATTGTGTATGTATAGGTGATTGTGCGTGAATGGATATGTGTGTGTGTGTACATGAGCGGCAACCATGTATGTACTTGTGTTTTTGTATGTACGAGAATTTGTGAATGTATGGGTACTTATGTATGAGTAGATGATTGTATACGCGTGTGTGTGTGTGTTTGGGATTAGGTCTTAAGTATAAATAGGTATTTTCGAGTGTGTATCCATGAGTGAGAGTGATTGTCAAAACATTCATGCATACTCACGCTTACATAATACATACAATCTCTGTGTTTGTTACAGTTTTCTTGTTGTTGAGCACAACCAGAAGTCTTGCTGTACTCTGTGAAGTTATCTTCATTACAATGTTCTCTCTCTCTCTCTCTCTCTCTCTCTCTCTCTCTCTCTCTCTCTCTCTCTCTCTCTCTCTCTCTCTCTCACTTTATCTCTCTCTATCTCTCTCTTTCTCTCTCACTCTCTCTTGCTCCGGTGCTTGTTTGTCATTGTGTGTATGTGTGTTTGTGTGTGCCTCTTTGTTGTGTGTATGTGTCTGCATGTGTTTGCATGTGTCTTTCTATGTTTCTGACTGAGTGTCCGTCTCTGTGTGCGTCAGTGTGTGTGACTGTTTGGCTGTATGTATGTGTCTCTGTGTCTGGGTGTCTGTGTGTTTGTCTGCGCGAGTGTATGTGTCTGCCTGTTTCTGTGTGTGTGTGTGTGTGTGTGTGTGTGTGTCAGTGTGTGCGTGTTTATGTCAGTGTGTGAGCATGTATATATTTATGTCTGCTGTGCGTCTGCGTGTGTGTATGTGTGTATGTCTATGTGGCTGTGTTTATGTGTCTGTGTGTGTGTGGGACTGTGTGTTTGTCTGCGTGACTGTGTGCTTCTGTGTGCGTGTCTGTGTGTGTTAGTGTGTGAGTGTGCGTGTGTCTGTGGGCATGCCTGTGTGTATGTATGCATAGATTATGTATATACTTGTGTGTATATGTGTGTACGTGCTTACGTATTTATGTTCTAGAGTTCAATTTTTGTGGAAATGGAGAACAGACACTTTGTCCCCAACAAGAATTTCATGAAAGGCAACTGGTCAGGGGCGATTCCTTCAAAGTGCATCTACATAAGAGGCGAAGAATCAACAGTCTGCATGTAACAAAGCCTTTTTTTTTTTTTTTTTTTTTTTTATTAACGGAAGTGCACGCACAACTTAAGTTTTGGAGCAAAACAAAGTCTAGAAGTGGATGAACAAATACAGCTTTCCACTGGAGTATAATGCTGGAAGAAGTTGACAGCTCAGAAGAAGAAGTCAACATGTGTCGTGTAGTTCTCCTATTGTAGATTTGTCTTTCATTCTGCATCCGTTTTCCTGTATACAGTTTGGAAACTGTTCATTTCAGCCATTAGTGAGGTTTGTCGTGTGCTTTATACTGCTTTAGAAAACGTATTTTTGTTTTATGGGCAACGTCCTAAACGAATTGGCGCATGTTCTGTAGAATCCCTGCAGGATTTGCTGGGTCAAGGGATCATGTGACGCGAACCCCATATTTCAACAGCGAACAGCAAATTCTTGCATTCTCGGCCAGAAAAATTGATGGGCAGCCACAAGGTGAAACCAGTCATTTCTAAGTAAGGTGCCCCAAAGGTGTAAGACATATTACCTCTACTGTGCTGAATGACAGGACCAGAAGACGTCAGGAAACAGGGATCGCGGTCTGCATCATTCCTGGGAAGGGCGGAGGGTGTGGTAAACTAACAAATTTAGTGGGCGGAGGAGAATACGGCGTTGTCACTTCCCTCTTTTGCGTCTTCTTTGCTTTGATTCGTCGATTTTGAAACCAGATTTTAATCTGGCGTTCTGATAAGTTAATTATTTGAGATAACTCCCACCGCCTGGACTTAGAGATGTAGGTGGAGCTTGAGTATTCCCGCTCCAGCTCGGCGATTTGTTGCTTGGAATATGGGCGGCGCCTCTTCTTTAACGTAACTGTTGTTGTGGGGAGAGATAAAGACGGTAGGTGCATTGATTGGGGCATATCTGAAAGGAACAAAATACATAAATGTCAGTAAACTTTACCTTGTTTTGACATCATCTATTCTTGTCTATTTCCTTTCTCAGGCTATGCCTTGTCTGTCTTGTCTGGTTTTTGTTGTCACATGTTTTTTTTTTTTTTTTTTTTTTTTTTGGGGGGGGGGGGGAGGGGGGTGTCTTTTAGTCTTTTTTGTTTATGCAACATCCTTTTTATCTTGACTGCGCCTTGCCTTGTTCTGTCTGGTCTATGTCCTGTCTATACCTTGTCTCGTCATTTCTAACCTTGTTTTGTCTAGTCAATGTCCTGTCTATACCTTGTCTCCTTATGCCTAGCGATGTTTTGTCTTGTCTATTTATTGTCTATGTTTGTCTTGTCATGTCTGACCTTGTTTTGTCTGGTCTACGGCGTTTCTATTGCCTTGCCTCGTCATGACTAACCTTGTTTTGCCTGGTCTATAGCGTGTCTATGCCTTGTCTCCCCATGTCTAACCTTGTTTTGTCTGGTCTATGGCGTGTCTATGCCTTGTCTCCCCATGTCTAACCTTGTTTTGTCTGGTCTTTGTCCTGTTTATACCTTGTCTCTTCTTGCCTAGCAATGTTTTGTCTTGTCTATCTGGTGTCTTTTTTTGTCTCGTCAGGCCTAGACTTATTTTGTCTTTTTGTAGGTCAAGCGTTGTTTTATCTTGTCTGTGTCATGTCTTGTCACAGCTATGTCTTGTCTGTGTCATGTCTTGTCTGTGTCGTGTCTTGTCACAGCTATGTCTTGTCTGTGTCATGTCTTGTCACAGCTATGTCTTGTCTGTGTCATGTCTTGTCACAGCTATGTCTTGTCTGTGTCATGTCTTGTCACAGCTATGTCTTGTCTGTGTCATGTCTTGTCACAGCTATGTCTTGTCTGTGTCATGTCTTGTCACAGCTATGTCTTGTCTATATCTTAAACAAATTTTAATATTTCTTTCCTCAAAAAGCGAGAAGAAAAAATTTTAACTTTCAAATTACAATTGAACCGCTTTCCTAGTTGACACACTAACTTACTGTCAGATTTCCAGTTCTCTATTCTCTACCCAAGGCAAGAACACTGTCATGATTAGCGATTCTGGTGATCGCCTGAGATAGCAAAACAGGACATCCTACGCTTACTGGCACGGCACGTGGTGAAGATGATGATTCCCTCCCCGCCTCGGGCAGCAAGCTAGTACCTGGACAGTAGATGGGACAGTAGGTAGAAAGTAGATGGGACAGTAGATGGGACAGTACGTCGAAAGTAGATGGGATAGAACAGTAGGTCAAAAAAATATAGGAACAATTGATGTTACAGTAGGTAGAACAGTAAATGGGACAGTAGACAGGACAGTAGATGGGACAGTAGGTAGGACAGTGGATAGGATATAATAAGGATAGTGGATAGGACAGCTGTTATGTGTGCTACCATTTTAATTTCTTGGGAGGTTGAACCGGGTTTATGGATTCCAGCATGTTGAACGTGGTTGTTGCAACCGCAGCTGGAGCCGAAACTTTCAGATAGCAGTCTAGACGTGTCAGTCAGTCAGTCCGTCAGTCAGTTAGTCGGTAGGTTTTTCTGACAGCCAACCCCGTCAATCGGTCAATAAGTTATTCAGTTGATCGATCAGTAAAACAGCCAGTCTACCACCCAGTCAATCATTTAGTTAGTCATTCAGTCAGTCACTCAGTAATTCCGTAAATGAGCTGATCAGTTTTCAGTCGGTAAACCAGTCAGTTCGGTATTCAATCATTCAATCATTTATTCAGTCGCTTTGTGAGTCAGTATTCAATCATTCAGTCAGATATTCAGTCGGTTCACGAGTCGGTTAGGTTTTCAATCATTCAGTCAGTTATTCGGTCGGTAATCCAGTAAGTTGGGTATTCAATCATTCAGTCAGCTATTCTGTCAGTTCGCGAATCAGTATTCAATCATTCAGTCAGATTTTCAGTAGGTGAGCCAGTCAGTTATTGAAACAGTCAGTGGATACCGGAGAATGACTCCACTTGGCCCTCGGTGTTTTGATGATGATGGACAGACAGCGTTTTACTGTAGAGCTTCTCTTTCTTCTCTTCTCCCTCTCTCTACCCCTCCTTCTTACTCTTACTCTCTCTTCTCTCCTCCCTCTCTACCCCTCCTTATTACTCTTACTCTCTCTTCTCTTCCCAGCATCGCTCGCTCTCTCTCTCTATCGCTCTATCGCTCTCTCTCTCTCTCTCTCTCTCTCTCTCTCTCTCTCTCTCTCTCTCTCTCTCTCTCTCTCTCCCTCTCGTCCCCAGGCAATCTCTATCAAATCTCCATTTATCTATCAAACAGATGGCTCAGGTGCAGCTACAAACCGACCAGCCCAACTGACACATTGGCTCTCATGATTCGATCATCTCCCATCCTCGACACCTGTAGCCTCGCACAGTGTGAACCTTCCAGCGGGAGTGAAAACTAACAGCCCGGACATTGGCGGGTGCATTAGCAGAGGTCAGCGAGGACAACCGGCCATAAAGCTGAAGGAGTTAATACTTTGCTCGCTCTTGTTCAGTCCCCAAGTGCTTATTTACGGCCCTGTGTGAGTTGATTGTTTCATAGTTCACGAGCAGTGAGCAGCAGGTTCCAGCTGTGAGTGTTGCGGTAGCTCTCTCGTGTCTGACTGGCGTCCGTGAGAATGGAAACAGTTGCGGTGCGGTAACCTTGTGGGAGACTTCTGGCAGAGTGGGACTCGCTAGAAAAACATGGCTGGAGAATCCAAGCAATCATTCAAGGACAAGGTGTGCCCATAGCCTCTAACTTGTCTGTTGTCTGCTGGGTCCTAGAGTCTGGTTTTCCTTCGGCTCCTCCCATCAGACACAGACCGCTGTATGGGGTTGATCTCACCAGCAAGGACATGCACAGCTCTAGGGCACTGGTCCCCCGTCTCATCATTCATGTCCCTAAAGACGCAGCCCAAGCGGAAATCTTTATGTACATAGTGTACAGTCATACAGACGCATTCCATGTGACCACATATAGGCATATGTTGTATATTGTACAGGAGCGGAGAGGTCAGAGGAGAGACAAAGCTCTTTACATATTTTCTAGGACCCGAGAGGCTTAGGCCTTGTTTGTGTGCGTCATGATAATACAGCTTTATTATATTACTTTAAAACAAATTTGTTTGACGGGTGGCAACACTTGGCAATGCGGAGACTAAAGGACAAAAGAAACTGGCACACAGAACAAGCAAGCTAGTTACATAAAATAAACCTGGAGGTTGTGAATCTTTCCCGTGACAACTAATGGATGAGATTCATAGACTCACGTTCTGTCACTAACGAAAAAATAAATCGGAGCTTTTGAACTGAAATGTTCTAGAGACATTATAAGAATACCGCGGAGCAAGAGAAGAGAAAAACTGACATGCTCCATGATCTGAGAATCGCGGAAAACTGGCTCATACACAGCATCCTGTTCTCACAGTAGAGGTATTTTGGAGATGTTAACTTTCACGTGGCTTAAAGGGAGCATTAATGGGTTGGGGAAGAAGGGACAGACAGACCGACATAAGGGTTGACACTGGACATTACAGATGCATATAAAAACACATGGGGCTAGAAAGGCGGCTAGAGAAGGAGAGTCTTTCAGGCGGGTCATGGCCAGACTGGCAGTGTGTAAAGGACTCGAACCCTGACCATTAATGGTATCTGAAGTGAACAATTTGTAAGAAAGAGATCTCAAATTGGTGAGCATTTAGTGGAAAGATAACTTTTATGTTGGAACGTGGTCGGTACAGTTAGTCTCTTGACAAACTGTGTAGCACAAGTAAAGGGGAGTCAGATCCTGTTTTTAAAGACAAGAATGTGAGGGGGACATCTTCGGAGCCCAGGCTGAAGTACCTCTACTAGATATCCTCTAGTGGGACATGTTCGGAGCCCAGGCTGAAGTACCTCTACTAGATATCCTCTAGGGGGACATGTTCGGAGCCCAGGCTAAAGTACCTCTACTAGATATCTTCTAGTGGGACATGTTGGGGGCCCAGGCTGAAGTACCTCTACTAGATATCCTCTAGTGGGACATGTTGGGGGACCAGGCTGAAGTACCTCTACTAGATATCTTCTGGTGGGACATGTTGGGGGCCCAGGCTGAAGTACCTCTACTAGATATCTTCTGGTGGGACATGTTGGGGGCCCAGGCTGAAGTTCCTCTACTAGATATCTTCTGGTGGGACATGTTGGGGGCCCAGGCTGAAGTACCTCTACTAGATATCTTCTAGTGGGACATGTTGGGGGCCCAGGTTGAAGTTCCTCTACTAGATATCTTCTGGTGGGACATGTTGGGGGGGGGGGGGGGGGTCCTAGGTTGAAGTACCTCTACTAGATATCTTCTGGTGGGACATGTTGGGGGCCCAGGTTGAAGTACCTCTACTAGATATCTTCTGGTGGGACATGTTGGGGGCCCAGGTTGAAGTTCCTCTAAAAAATATCGTCTAGTGGGACATAGATCCAGTCAATGACAACGTACTCCTGTTACAGAAATCAATGGAAATCACTACCCGTGAGGGTTACTTGGTCCCATTACGGGCGTCGGCGAGGGAGTGTAAGACAGAATAAACCCACAGTTCCCCCTCCTTAAAGTCGGAATGCATTATCCAAAATGATGAGAAGCCAACATTCAGCATAAAGTAAAACAGATCTGCCAAATGGATGTGCACGCAAAACATAAGTTCTAGAACTCGACGAGAAGTGAACAAGCAACCAGAACCATCCGTCGGAGTTTACTTACAGCCAGTAAATGCGAAGAAGACATCTCACAGAAGCTGCTCTACCGCGAAGCTCTGGGTTAAAGATAAGGGCGGTTTGTGCCAGCAGCTGAAAGATTTGTTGGCCATTGGATGCCCGCTGCTACAGCCCACCTTATCTACCTATCATCCCATCCGCGTGTATTGGAGATGGTTTCCACATCTCAACCAGGTGTCGCTTGCAGCATAACGGATATTTATGGCCTATTTTAATTGGTTACTAGATGCGCCACCTAGAGGCTGGCTTATCTTGAGGGGCGGCAGGGCGTTATGTGTGGTTTGGGTAGTGTCTGCGATCTGGCTTTTCTCAGTTCCCAGCGACCTCACACATTCTGTGTGGCGAGTGGGATATCTCACATGCACTGTGTGGCGAGTGGGGATACCTCACATGCTATGTGTTGGATGTCGGGATACCGCATACATTCTGTGTGAAGAGTGGGGATATCTCACATGCACTGTGTGGCGAGTGGGGATACCTCACATGCACTGTGTGGGAAGTCGGGATACCGCACACATTCTACGTGAAGTGTGGTGATATCTCACAGCTCTATGTGGGGAAGGGGGATATCACCAAAGCTCTATGTGGGGAAGGGAATATCACCAAAGTTATATGTGAGGAAGGGGATATCACCAAAGTTTTATGTGAGGAAGGGGATATCACCAAAGTTTTATGTGAGGAAGGGGGATATCACCAAAGTTTTATGTGAGGAAGGGGATATCACCAAAGTTTTATGTGAGGAAGGGGGATATCACCAAAGTTGTATGTGGGGAAGGGGATATCACCAAAGTTTTATGTGAGGAAGGGGATATCACCAAAGTTTTATGTGAGGAAGGGGGATATCACCAAAGTTTTATGTGAGGAAGGGGATATCACCAAAGTTATATGTGGGGAAGGGGGATATCACCAAAGTTATATGTGAGGAAGGGGATATCACCAAAGTTTTATGTGAGGAAGGGGGATATCACCAAAGTTTTATGTGAGGAAGGGGGATATCACCAAAGTTTTATGTGAGGAAGGGGGATATCACCAAAGTTTTATGTGAGGAAGGGGGATATCACCAAAGTTTTATGTGAGGAAGGGGGATATCACCAAAGTTTTATGTGAGGAAGGGGGATATCACCAAAGTTTTATGTGGGGAAGGGGGATATCACCAAAGTTATATGTGGGGAAGGGGATATCACCAAAGTTATATGTGAGGAAGGGGGATATCACCAAAGTTTTATGTGAGGAAGGGGATATCACCAAAGTTATATGTGAGGAAGGGGGATATCACCAAAGTTTTATGTGAGGAAGGGGGATATCACCAAAGTTATATGTGGGGAAGGGGATATCACCAAAGTTATATGTGGGAAGGGGGATATCACCAAAGTTATATGTGAGGAAGGGGGATATCACCAAAGTTATATGTGAGGAAGGGGGATATCACCAAAGTTATATGTGAGGAAGGGGGATATCACCAAAGTTATATGTGGGGAAGGGAATATCACCAAAGTTATATGTGGGGAAGGGAATATCACCAAAGTTGTATGTGGGGAAGGGGGATATCACCAAAGTTATATGTGGGGAAGGGAATATCACCAAAGTTTTATGTGAGGAAGGGGGATATCACCAAAGTTTTATGTGAGGAAGGGGGATATCACCAAAGTTTTATGTGAGGAAGGGGGATATCACCAAAGTTATATGTGGGGAAGGGAATATCACCAAAGTTGTATGTGGGGGAAGGGGGATATCACCAAAGTTGTATGTGGGGAATGGAATATCACCAAAGTTGTATGTTGGGAGTGGGAATTTCTCTCATGACCTCTGTGCAGTTTTGGGTTACCTCACATTTATGATGATGAGGATGTTAAGGAGGAGGATTATTGTTGTGATGAGCATGATTATAGTAATGATGATGGTGTTGAAGATGGTTGTGTCAAACATTGTTGTGATTGTTGTGTCTGTTGTGATGATGATCATAGCGATGATTGTGTCTGTTGTGATGATAATCATCGCGAGGATGAGGGCTGTTGCGATGATAATGATTGCGTCTGTTGTAATGATGATCATTGCGATAATGATGTCTGTTGTGAGGATAATCATTGCGATAACGATGTCTGTTGTGATGATGATAAGTGTGTCTGTTATGATATTGATCATCGCAATGATGATGACTGTTGTGATAATGATCATTGCAATGATGATGATCTGTTGTGATAATGATCATTGCAATGATGATGACTGTTGTGATAATGATCATTGCAATGATGATGACTGTTGTGATAATGATCATTGCAATGATGATGATCTGTTGTGATGATGATCATCGCGATGATGATGTCTGTTGTGATGATGATGGTGATGACGAATGCTGAGTGATGATAATTGTGATGATGGCGATTGTTGTGTTGATGATGATGAATGGTGTGGTGACAATTATTGTTGTGAAGATTTTGATGATGATAATGATGCAGATGATGATGACTGTTACCGTGATTCTTTAATCTTTTACATGCTTCGACACTGTACGGAAGAATGGACAGACGCTGAAAAATCCTCACCCAGAATTCGCTCACAACGTGTACCCATGGATAAGAGACTCGTGCACAAATGATCAGTAAAAGTGAAAGTAGACAGCTGCTTCAGAAAATGGGTAAAATGAAAGGTGTTCCACAGGGCAGTGTCATATCACCAACTCTTTTCCTGTTTTACGTTATTGAAATATCAAGTGATGTCATCAGTATGTCCCTAACAGCCTTTGTGCAGATAACTGTAGAAATACTCTGACTAAAATTGTCAGACTCTGAACGGGGCACTGTAAACTCATAGGACACTTTCACGCCAACTCTGCTGCATGTGGTTGTGGCTCAACCAAGCAAACTCCCGAGAATGTCTTACATGAAGGCCCAAAGTCAGAGACATGAAATCTGGCTCCCAGAAAAAAAGTACCTACAAGATCAACTATGAGGTTTCGGTGTAGACCTGGATCGTACCGTTCTGTCTATGACCCATATTCAAATACATGCAAAGCAAACATTGCTCGCTGACGATGCAACAGCAGCAGTAGTAGAAGATGATTATCAAGGAAGAAAAAAAAGAAGAAGAAAAAGAAGAAGAAGAAGAAGAAGAAGAAGAAGAAGAAGAAGAAGAAGAAGAAGAAGAAGAAGAAGAAGAAGAAGAAGAAGAAGAAGAAGAAGAAGAAGAAGAAGAAGAAGAAGAAGAAGAAGAAGAAGAAGAAGAAGAAGAAGAAGAAGAAGAAGAAGAAGAAGAAGAAGAAGAAGAAAGAAGAAGAAGAAGAAGAGAAGAAGAAGAGAAGAAGAAGAAGAAGAAGAAGAAGAAGAAGAAGAAGAAGAAGAAGAAGAAGAAGAAGAAGAAGAAGAAGAAGAAGAAGAAGAAGAAGAAGAAAGAAGAAGAAGAAGATGATGAAGAAGAAGAAGAAGAAGAAAGAAGAAGAAGAATATGAAGAAGAAGAAGAAGACGAAGAAGGAGAGAAGATGATGATAATAGCGATGATAGTGATTATAGTGATGCTTATATTGATGATAATGTTGTTGATGATGATAATGATGATGATTATGATGATTATGATGACGACGACGATGATGATCATAACAAGCAATTACAATAACAGATTAAAAAAAAAAAAAAAAAACAGAACGTACCCCTCTGACACAGACCTTGGAACGGTGACAAACAAGAAGAAATGTTGAAGTCAAACGTAGACATGTCACAACTTCTCCAAGAACTGTCCGCGCACTTCTGTTTTTGGCGGTTGCTACACGTGCCGGAGACGGCACAGCATGATCGCTGAAGATCATCTTTGCTAGTGAGCTCGAACTCAGTCCTTGTTGCTGAACTGTTGTAAAAGGGACTTTCATAGCCAGGCTTCCTGAGGTTGGGATCCCTGGACCCATGTGACCCATCCGTGGAACTGAGAGGGTTTAACTTCCAGTTGCCTGCGTGAGGTGGCTTGCCAGAGATATCCTCCCCTGGGAATGGATAGACTGAAGCTGGCGTGAAATAGCCAGAAGTCCACGGAGCCGGGTACACGCTGGAGTAATTCCTGTCGCAGGTGACGGAGTCCGAGTAGGCTGTGGGTATGTGCCATCCTCGAAAACTGTAAGGATTCATTGCATTTGTTTGTGAGTCAGTTGTGATTGGGTGAACGTTGGTGCAGTCTGGCCTGTCTGTAGAGTTTCTGTAATGTGAGCAGAGAAGCTAATACAGAGCTTCGAGTTAGAGTCTGGAGACGGAGTCTTCAAATCCCCCTTAGCACTGAAACGCAGAGACAAAACCTCGTGTTGATTTAGCTGCTCGAACTAAACACCTGTAGGAGTGTGAGTTCCAGGACAATGAGACAGCAAGAAAAAAATCAGTGTTCTTTTTTTCTAACATTGGTCATAGTTATCTACTCTAGACACGTGCATGTTTGTGTGAAGACAAGAACTTTATGAGATCTCTGCCCGTCATGAGGCTCTAGGTGTTTTGATGGTTATTTACATTCTACTGTAGTGTTCATTCAAACGGTTAGTTCTAGTCCGAATTCCCGCAGTATTTATCTGTCTTCCAAGAGTACATCATCTCCCTTGTGTGTTTTCTTCTAGTTGTTTATGTTCTCGATCGATCAGCTGACAAGAGGCTACTGAAGAAATAGCCTATTGTTGGTTCTCGTTGTGAGTACTGAATTAAGGTCAGGGGTCAAGAAAGATGTGAGCTGACTGTCCATAGAAAGTGTTTGCTCTTGTAGCCGGGAGATTTGGTCAGATTCAACCGATACTGTTAGTGCAGATTCGGTCAGATTCATCCGATACTGTTAGTGCAGATTCGGTCAGATTCATCCGATACTGTTAGTGGAGATTCGGTCAGATTCATCCGATACTGTTAGTGCAGATTCGGTCAGAAAACCCAGGCACGGGTGTACAATACGGTACTGTGGGCTGAAAGCTCGCTGTGGAAAAAGAAAATATAAAACAAGTATTGTATCATCTAGAATTTTAGTGATTCAGTAATATAGTGACTCAGTAATATAGTGATTTAGTAATATAGTGATTTAGTAATATAGTGATTTAGTAATATAGTGATTTAGTAATATAGTGATTTAGTAATATAGTGATTTAGTAATATAGTGATTTAGTAATATAGTGATTTAGTAATATAGTGATTCAATAATATAGTGATTCAGTAATATAGTGATTTAGTAATATAGTGATTCAGTAATATAGTGATATAAAGGTATAGACGTTTGTTGATATGGATGTGTAGTTTTTTTTTTTTTAAAGTAAAGATTCCTTTTCACGACTTTGGGTCATCTGGCATTTGGGAAGAGCATGCCATATTTTTACAGACCAATCGGCGCCAGGTGGGTAATGGGGTCAGGATTATGTCTGCCGTCTTTACTTCCCCAAAACAGAATGTGTAGTGATAATGACCTATTGTGACAAGCTACAGGAGTATTAAGACGCGCAGTTATACAGAGATGATGATATTGCCCTGTAGATGTGTCATGATATTTTACGTCTGTTTGTGTACAATGGCACAGGCTCTATAAGAACACAGAAACCACACGCAGACGCACAGACACACATACAAGCCAACAGCAACAAGCAGATAACAACCAATTAAAACGGCGCCGACAACAACAAGGCTGCCGGAAGTCGAGTTGATACCTGGAGCAAAGTTAACACCACACAGACAAGCCAACAACAACAAGGCTACCGAAAGTCGAGTTGATATCTGGAGCAAAGTTAACACCACACAGACAAGCCAACAACAACAAGGCTGCCGAAAGTCGAGTTGATATCTGGAGCAAAGTTAACACCACACAGACAAGCCAACAACAACAAGGCTGCCGGAAGTCGAGTTGATACCTGGAGCAAAGTTAACACCACACAGACAAGCCAACAACAACAAGGCTGCCGGAAGTCGAGTTGATACCTGGAGCAAAGTTAACACCACACAGACAAGCCAACAACAACAAGGCTGCCGGAAGTCGAGTTGATACCTGGAGCAAAGTTAACACCACACAGACAAGCCAACAACAACAAGGCTGCCGGAAGTCGAGTTGATACCTGGAGCAAAGTTAACACCACACAGACAAGCCAACAACAACAAGGCTGCCGGAAGTCGAGTTGATACCTGGAGCAAAGTTAACACCACACAGACAAGCCAACAACAACAAGGCTGCCGGAAGTCGAGTTGATACCTGGAGCAATGACTATGATTATGACTAGCATCTTGCAGGAAGAAAGCTTCTTCTTCTACTTCTTTGTTTACCGGCTGCAAGTTGTCGGGCATGTCCTGTTTGTTCCTCAGTTTGGAATTAGGCTTTGTGCCTGGGCCTGAGTTTTACGTATACATGCGTTTATTGACCTCTGTCTGTGTGGTTAGTTGTTCTAACAGGGCAGATGCACTCTGACTTCCAAGGAAACACCCAGTTAGTCAGCTCTTACGACATGCTTGTTGGGGAGGCAATGGGTCTATTCTTGCTCTCCACATAATGGAGCCCCGTACCAACATGGGGAAAGGAAGAGAACATAAAACAAGAATGAAAAAAAAAAAAAAGGAAATCAAACATCATGGATTTACAGAAACACAACCAGACATTCCTCTTGGCGACGGGTGACAGTTTTAAACTGACTAAAATATTAGACGTATACAGTCGATGTTTTCCAAACCTCTAATAAGAAAGAATGAATGAATCCCAGAACATGGTCATGACTGGCAAGATGGATGGAAAGAGAGCAAGAGAAAGGCAACAAGATAAATAGATTGGGTTGCTTAGCCAGATGGATGGGGTGAGACAAGAATATGGACCTGATCCGTGATTCCTGTGATCATGTGAGATGATGAAATATGGCTTCCATATGATGATAAACATTTATTTTAAAAAACAAACACACTCAAACAGTAAAGTGGCGTTTAAAAAAGATGGTGGGGTGGAGAGAGGGAGAGGGGGGGGGGGGGGGAGAGAGGGAGAGGGGGGGGTGAAGAGAGAGGGAGAGGGGGGGTGAAGAGAGAGAGGGGGGGGGGGTGAAGAGAGAGAGAGAGGGGGGGGTGAAGAGAGAGAGAGGGGGGGGGTGAAGAGAGAGAGAGAGGGGGGTGAAGAGAGAGAGAGGGGGGGGGTGAAGAGAGAGAGAGAGGGGGGGTGAAGAGAGAGAGAGGGGGGGGTGAAGAGAGGGAGAGGGGGGGGTGAAGAGAGAGAGAGGGGGGGGTGAAGAGAGAGAGGGGGGGGGTGAAGAGAGAGAGAGAGGGGGGGTGAAGAGAGGGAGAGGGGGGGAGGGGGAGAGAGAGAGAGAGAGAGGAGGAGGGGGTGAAGAGAGAGAGAGAGGGGGGGGGGTGAGAGAGAGAGAGAGGGGGGGGTGAAGAGAGAGAGAGAGAGGGGGGGTGAAGAGAGAGAGAAGGGGGGTGAAGAGAGAGAGAGGGGTGGAGAGAGGGGGGTGGGGTGAAGAGAGGGGGGTGGGGTGGAGAGAGGGGTAGGACTGTCAATATTTACGCAAAAGCACTCAATGCATTAACATTGGTTACTGAATATGTTGCAAATATTGAACAGATAACTAAAGATCACACACACAAACAACAAGCAATTAGACAAATTTCAAACACAAACAACAAACAACAAACATAGCAGACTGTTCGGCTGGTACACAACTCCACAAGTCGACACAAGTACACAACTCCACAAGTCAAAATAAGTACATAACTCCACAAGTCGACACAATTACACAACTCCACAAGTCGACACAAGTACACAACTCCACAAGTTGACACAAGTACACAACTTCATAAGACGACACAAGTACACAACTTCACAAGTCGACACAAGTACACAACTCCACAAGTCGACACAAGTACCCAACTTCACAAGTCGACACAAGTACACAACTCCATCAGTCGACACAAGTACACAACTCCATCAGTCGACACAAGTACCCAACTTCACAAGTCGACACAAGTACACAACTCCATCAGTCGACACAAGTACACAACTCCATCAGTCGACACAAGTACCCAACTCCATAAGTCGACACAAGTACACAACTCCACAAGTCGACACAAGTACACAAGTCCACAAGTAGACAACTCCACACGTCGACACAAGTACACAACTCCACAAGTTGACACAAGTACACAACTCTACAAGTCGACACAAGTACACAACTCCACAAGTCGACACAAGTACACAACTCCACAAGTAGACAACTCCACACGTCGACACAAGTACACAACTCCACAAGTCGACACATGTACACAACTCTACAAGTCGACACAAGTACACAACCCCAGCCAGTAAATGAAGACAGGCAACGGTTGCACCAGAATAAATTTACGAGCGAGCTCGGCAACTGAACACCAGAATCTACGATAAACGGCACATAAATGACATCTCTATGTCCTCACAAACAGACACTTGGGTCTGGTTGTATCACACTGGGACCCGCCCAGTTGTACCGCAGCCACAGCTGGGGCCCAAAAAGACTTTCCGGTTGTGTCTTCAGCTTCTGACTCACTGTCTAATCTAAGTACAAAGACCCTTTGGGGACGAGTGAACAGTGCGGAGAAGCAGATAGATCATTACGGTCTGAGGAGAATGACGCTGCGAGGAGATACCAGGATATCTGGCCCACGCTCAACACTCAGGGAAAGGATGAGACGGATATACAATCAGATTTTCACCTCTAACATTCAACATCGTTAAGTCTAGTCCTGATTTCAAGTTGTAGGCTCTCTGGCATGTCCGTGTGTTGGCTCTCTGGCATGTATAGACGTTATTTCCTTTTGTTGGCTCTCTGGCATGTATAGCCGTGGATTTCTGTTTGTTGGCTCTCTGGCATGTATAGACGTTATTTCCGTTTGTTGGCTCTCTGGTATGTATTGCTGTGGATTTCCGTTTGTTGGCTCTCTGGCATGTATAGCCATGGATTTCCGTTTGTTGGCTCTCTGGCATGTATAGCCATGGATTTCCGTTTGTTGGCTCTCTGGCATATAGAGCCGAAGATTTCCGTTTGTTGGCTCTCTGGCATGTATAGCTGAAGATGTCCGTTTGTTGGCTCTCTGGCATGTATAGCCGTGGATTTCCGTTTGTTGGCTCTCTGGCATATACAGCCGAGAATTTCCGTTTGTTAGCTGTCTGG